ATTCTCAACTTTATCACCTTGGTGTCGCACCCAGAACAGTAGCTACATGCCATTGTGCGTACCGCGGACGTAAAAAATTGATCTCTGCACAGACCAGTCCGCGGATGTCCGCTTCAAGTCCGCATTGAGTCCGCCTCGAGTCCGCGCTGACCTCCGCGGACCGAAGTGCGCCCGAGTATGTGGGAGCCTCAAGGCTTAAACTGGTCACATCCATGAAAGTAATTTTAAGTCTATTTGAGAACAAAAAACACAGGATTAAGTACCACTGCTCTCCTAAAGGTACAATCTTACTATGCTGCAACTGTTGGTGACTTGTGAGAAATTAGGTCAGTTTTCTGTTGCAGTGTCATGATRTCCTGGGTGTTTGTAACCAAGTAACCATCAAGCAACAACAACCTTGGATCTGTTGACTAAATTCTTCCTGGCTGGATGTGTCGACAAAGGCTCTCCCCCCCCCTCCCCCCCACCTCCTTTCGCCCATCTAATCTGCTTTTCCAGAGCTGGCTGAAAGCTGCACAGAAATGAACAGTTTCCATCAATATTTCTGAACTATGGCTGTGCTGGTTTTGGGGGACTGGATTCTTCAGGCCCCATTAAACTCACTTACTCCTCTGGCTAATAAACTTACTCTATGCATTGTTTTTTTTTCATAAACACCATAGTGTGTCACAGTGTTGATATTATATGATGTTTTTGCTTTTTTCCTCATCTTCCCTTCCCTTGTGTGATTTTCAGTTTTTCTTTGTTTCTAAGTTGGCGCCACAGCAGGCAGCCTGTTACTGCAACTCCACTGATTTGAGCTGCTGTAATGTTCAAATTTCCCCACTGTGGGATCAATAAAGTTCTATCTTATCTTATCTTATCTTATCTTAAGCTGTGTGGGCAGTTCAAAAATAATAATAGTAATAATAATAAACACTTTATTTTGTAAGCTCAGCTAGCAAAACTGTTTTCTTGGCCGTACACATTTTATTTCTAATATCATACCTGCCTCAGCTCTTGTATTTTGACTTGTGTTTTCATCATATTGTGCCACAATAAATGAAAATATTTACAAACTCAGATTTATTTACTCAGAGAAATTGCATTCATCTTTAAGAGTTACTGTAGGTACTTTTCTTCTGTCAGGTATTTGCTTAAATAGGGAAAGCTTTTCTCACCAACTGCATGTATAATATACGTCATTTAAATGTGGACAAACTCAWTGGCAGCACAGTTTGAGGTGCATGAATCCCTTTGTAAAGATTTATTTTTAGGTAAATGGATGCTCAAAACCTACAACAAAAATCATACAATGTTTGGTGATATAAGACCTCATATTTTGATTTAGTAAAGTTCAGTTTTACTCAACAGGTTTGTCTGCTGTGTCCTCCTACACAATGTTAAGTTGACAGTGGCCACACTCTGGTAACATTTTCATGTCTGTCAGCTATGAAGGTATTCCTTCCTTCATAAATTGTTAATAGGCTTTGTAAATACTGTAGTCAGAAAGTAAAAATATAAGGATAAAGTTTCTTTGTACACATAGTATATACATAGAATGAACAAAATGAATAAGGACAAAGGGTTTAGCTTACAGCGAGTAA